AGACTGGGGTGTAGCAGGAGCCACGTGAGGAAGAAGCAAGTGCACAGGGAGGAAAGCTCTACTGCCATGGAAAAAGGACTTGGTGGGAATTGTCAGTGGGTCTGCAGCTCCTAAAGGCCAGAGCTATTAATGGACCTGAGAGAGAGTCTTAACAGAAAGGTTAGCAGCAATACAGGAGGAAATGCCAAAGTGGGAAATGTTCTGTGAAAGAGTTCAGGGGATAATTGGATGCTGTTGAGTGAACAAAGGGACTGGCAAATTACGTCTGTGTAAATAGAGAGCTTGGTAAAATAACAGTTTATAGAAACTAAGTCTCCAAAATGGTTATTCCTGTGCAATAAAAATCTGCAGGATAAATTTATATAAGAGGTATCATATAGAGGATGATATTGCTTATGGTTCCCTTATGATACTGAATTCCTTAGTGAAAGTACATGCCAGATTTCTGGTGGACTTCACTGGAATAGGGATCTTGCTGTGTATTTTTAAGGAAAAGAACAGTGAAATGCATGTTTGTGGTTAATGAGATTACATGTCAGAAGAAAGCATTGAGTGTTGAATTACAGGTTGCCACTGGAAAAGAAACCCAGTCTTCCCCTTGATAATCATCCTCCACGGACAGAAGCGTGTGTTGGATAACTTCTATTTTGGGGTGATTATCTATATGTAAAGACTCTAGTTCTTGGAATAAGAAGATAAAGATATTTTGGGGGCAAAATCAAACCCCCAAAATACAGCGCAGCAAATACCAGCATTTAAACAGATCAGACTATAGCATAAACTTATTAACAAATAAAAATACACTAAATTAAGTATCCTCTCTCTTGTGGACCATTGATGAGAAGATACCAACATGTTGTGCCTTTATAGCTTATTTCAAGGATGTGCTGATGTTGCCAGTGCATAAAGTGTCATGCAGGTATTTGGTTATGTGCATCATGTATGGGATGGATCTTTTAACACATCATTTGATTTTAAACAGATGTAAAACATACATTGTGTCAGTTCTGTGTTAGTTACTTGCACTTACAATTATGATATTGACTGTTCAGAATAGTTGATAATTTATCCTCTAATAAGTGAAGATTTATGCTTTTTTCTTACAATATTTTGACTGTTTTGTCTCGATTGCTTTCCTTGAATAAAAACCAGTTTTAATTTAGACAAGGCTCAAGAAAATGAGATACAGCCTGTGCAGGCTGCTTTTTCTTAGCTAAATGGAAATCTCCATCCAAAGGTACCTTAGAAGTAAAGTTGATCAGCTGCAACTCTCATTTACAAAGGAGGCCAGAGTTTAGTACCAAGCAACAGTCTTCCTTCTGCCTGTCCCTACCTTCCGACTTTTGTACCTTAACCTGCTAGTTTGAACCCCTTGTGTTTTTCCAGTAAACATGATGATGCACATCCATTCAGGATCCTGCCCCACTGTGTTTAGATTAATTGCAAAATAGGATGTATCATCTTTAATGTCAGGTGCTAACTTTCTCTTAAGCATACCTTCTTTTGGGATGTAAAAACTGTTAAGATCATGATTTCTTTGGAAATCGTTCTTCACATCCCTCTTGAAGTCCAAGAAGCCTGTTTTGATCCGTGTAGCTTCAGGTGGAACCATATTATTGATTCTAACATTTTCATCAGCACCAGTCATAATTTCTGTCACCCAAACTACTCCAAGAAAACGGAGCATGGTGTTCTCTGCCTAGTTCTGTCTCTGCTCTTAGTTTGAAGTTGATGATGAGGACTGTTTGGCTTTCCAGATGGTGGAAAATCCTCTCTCCAGTGGCTTGCACTACATGGCAGGTTCATTGCTCATTGTAGTACAGGCGTGTCTCTGCTTCCCCCAAGCCTGTAACCTCTGGAGTCACATTACTTGGTAGTTTGCTTGCAGAGACCCGGGGAACAAGTGGTCACTTCCAGGTGGCATTCTTGCCTTTTGGCTCTCCCTTCATTTTGATTACAAAGGCTATGTCCATGAAGCTCAATTCAGTTCTGTGTCAAGCTGAGACACTTTGAAGTAGACCTGCTGGCATTCCCCTCACAGAAATACACGACAAAGCTGTCCAGGTACAGTCTAACTAAAAATAACCCCAACAGTTTTCCTAAAATCTGAGCATCTTTAGGTATTTTTACAGGACATGTATTGCATTACATACATGTATGTAATGATATATGCAATACATTGTCTCAGCATCCCAAGTGCAGCGCAGTGCTGTGTTTCTTGTTGCATGGGTTGTCACGTTCCCAGATCACGGAGTGACTGAGCTTGATTTGGGTGAAAAGTTGCGAAATGCACATTTTTGCAGCCCAACTACCTGTCACTCAGAAAACCCATGAGTAATTCCGAGTGAGAAACAGACCTGAGGACTTTGCAGTCTGCTCACAGGCACAGCTTTCTCTGAATAAATAATTGGTTGGGAATCAGGCAGCCCACTCCAGTTGTTACCAGATCCTTCTCAAAAGACAAGTTTGGCCTTGTGGGAGACTACTCACGGGTACAAGTTCTTTGGAACACACCTCAGGTAGAGTATCTAAATGTAAGTCAGTGAAAAGTAAATATGATTATGTATTGAGCAGTGAACAAGAGAAGGAGCAAAATGCAGACCTTTAGTGACAGACCATTATAATGCACCGTTGTGCTATCAAAGCAGGGATGTTAGCACAGGAAGGCTGAATGCAAATATACCTCTGATGGCTCTATTACTTCTTTGCACTATTTCAGAGGTTTAAAGAAAGTGGTACTGGCAGGAGTGGCTGGCATTGCTCTGTTGGCTGCTGTTTCACCACTATGTCTAGGATATGTGGGCTTGAAAAACCTTTGCACTGCAGAAATTCATGGCTGATGTATCATACCCAGCTTAGAAAGAGCAAAGCCATTCCCCAGTGTTGCTCCAACAGTAGAAAAGTGGCAAGATGTCATTTTTGCCTTGTATGCTGAGTTCCACCAACTTTTTTTGTGTCAGGCAAACAAGAATACCACAAGCTACAGAAGGGCCCAGATGTGTTTTGTCCCTGATGTAGCAGTCCTTCACCTGGTGTAGAGGTTGTTCATGTAGGTTGGTCCTTTGCTGCTGCTCAGAGCTCTTCTAAACAGATGTGAGATTTTATCCTGGCCTCCAACAGGAGTGTGCTCAAAGTAGAAGTGTGATGTATGGGCATAGAGATATGAGGCCATGCCATGGTCCTCCACCATGGGTCAGCTCAGGAGCAAAACTGAGCTGAACTGTCACTTCTTTAGAATGTGATGAAGTGAAGGAAACAATGTTGTGTATATTAAACCCTTCATTGAGTCCTGAACATGGGTAAGACAGTGGTGATCTCAGGAATGCCCAGGAGGAAGCTGCCTGCTGCCTGTGGGGCAGGGCTCAAATAGAGCACAAGAGATAGGACCAAAAGCCACAAATGAACAAAAAAGATAACATACACATTTTGCAGCTTCTGCTTGGGTGAGCACCATCTGTTCCCTTAGAACAGGTAGTCTTGGGCAAAGTGTGTGGCTTCTGGGATCGCTCAGGCCCCAACATTTAAACAGTTCACCAGGAATACATTTTCCAAGTAGAAACTTGTTGTGAGTGGGCTGCTTTACCAGCAGCAGGCTTAGATCAAGGGTCAACACAGAGCCTGAATTCCTTCTTGGAAAGCCCTTCTCCCTCTGCACATGGCCAGGCACGCTCTTGTGGTGGAGGGTGTCCAAGGACACCAGCCTCCTCAGGACTAAACTTGGTGTCTGTCCAGCACAGGCTGAGATGCTGCGGTTCTGCTGCTGTTGATATTATCACAGCCAGAAATATCAGGGTGTTATTTTCAGGTGTCAGACTGAGTTTGCAGAGCTGACATTACAGAAGTCACCTTTTCTTTCCAAGGCACAGAGAGAAAAATACTTTTGTCGTTTGTGTTACTTTTCAGAGGAAAAAAAGTACACTAAAAGTGCCCCACTCTCAGCAGTGAAAACTGGGTCAAGTTCCCTGCCTCCAGTGACAGCTCACAAGCTGACACAGTATGCGCAGTGTCACTATCACTGTCAAGCACCTTTGCCTGGTGAGATCACTCTTTTACATGTTTGGGCACTTCCTATTTTCATGGCAGATGGAGGAATTGAGGACAAATAGGAAAAACAACATCAGATCCCAGTACAAGTTTCTTTTGCTTTGTGGCTGCCTTTTGAACTGCCAATGAAAGAGTTTGGTAGATGTATGTAAATGTCTTGGACTCCATACGGTGCTCTGAGCTGCAGTGCTTCAGCAAAGATGTGATATCATGATTTTTTTGAGCTTTAACTTAGTCCTGATTATTTTCCCCATGGATTCCTGGGGAGAAAGCAAAGTCACATGCTGAGTGCACCCTGTAGTAGCTTTGTGCATATGGATGAAGCGTGCAGATCCTTGTTCCTCATAGCACTGGCTCCACTGAGCAGTCATAGTGCTGACAAGCAGCCTGCTTTGCTCCCAGCCAGGTGTGCTTAAGTCATTCTTTTAAATTCAAATCTGCATTCAGGAGCTGGTCTGAGCACAGGCTAATGGCTCAAGCTTTGCCTACCAAGTTACACTCTATTAATCTTCATTTCTAAAAGCAAAGGTGCTGCTGCAGCCCAGGAAGACTGGGCATCATCCACAGTACAAATCATAACCAGCTCTTTGTGCAAGATATCTGTACCTGAAGTTTCCCTACTGATGTAAACAACAGGTCTAAAAACTATGGAAAGGGTTTTGTTACACTAAAAAAGCAGATAGTAAGATGATTTATGCTTCCTGTTAGCTGCTTGGTGATAGGATCAGTTAAATAGGTTCCAGTATTTAATTATTACAGACAACTCGTTCATTTGGATCATGTGTATTGAAAGACACCCAAGAGATAAGAAAGCACCATACCATAAATAGTCCTTAGGTCCTTTCATGTGCTGTTGCACAGAGCTCCAGCAGTCGCTGCCCAGAGTCAAAGCCAACAACCCAGTTCTCTGTCCTTGCTTGCACCGCTTCCTCTGCCCTCGGCTCTGCTTTCTGCAGGTGCTCTCGCCTGCCTGCTCCTGCATGGGGCCAAGGAGAGAATTCAGCAGGCTGAAAGCAGGCTCCATCCTGCTGCTGCCTTTTATGTGTGGGGAGAGCTTGGTGAGTTCCACCAGCTAGAACAGTATGCAGTAACTGTATCTCCTGTGTCAGAGTGATGAATATGGACTGCCAAAGATTTCCAAAACATAAATAATTCAGCTCAGTCCTTTCTAGGTGAAGGGGAATGAACTGCTGCTGAAAGCCCATCTCTTGAAGGAAGTTCAGGGTGTTAACCCAGCTGCACTTGGTCTCTCCCTGTGAAATTATGGCAGAAGTTGCTCCTCAGATGACTTTAGATTTGCATTTTTATTAAGTGCTTATTGTTCCTCCTCCTGCAAGGAGCCATTATGTGGTAGACATCCTATATATTTTTGTATTCCCATTTTCTCCTAGACTACTTGTACTACTGCCCAAAATAAACATACTCAGTCATAAAAAGAAAAATCATCATTTCCAAAGGTATTTGAACATTTTCTTCCCTGAGGTTTCATCCAATTAGCCAGTTCAAAAACATGCTAGTGATCGTAATGCTGTGCACTTAGGTGCCTTTCCTCTGAGTATGTTAAAGGCAGGACATGATTATAAATGCACCTTCCCATTCTCTCTGGAATAGGAATTGCAAATTGAACTCTATACATAAAACAACCCAATGGCAAAAGTATGTATCTTAAACCCCATCTTCCCTAATAAGTCCTTTAATGCATTTATTACCTGTATCAGCCAACACAGTTTAATACAAGAATTTTCAGGTGCAGTCTTAAGAGAGGGCCCATTGGTGCCCTGCTTGGAGAGATATGAAGGAAGGCAACTGATTCACAGATATGTTTGTGGTCAGTCCTTGTGATTGATCAAGCTTTTGCACAGAGAAAACAAGCCCTGAGCTCATCTTCTGTGTGGCTTGAAGTGTAAGTGTGCCACGGGGTGACTGTGGTGGCAGCACACATTGCTGAGCTTTGTGGAAGGAGCCAAAGACAAATGTCTTTTGTATCAGCTAAAACCAGGAGTACAAAATCAAGCTTTTGCCCTCTGAGGACTCTCATGTTAAACACAATCTCAGATGCTCTCTCCAGTGAAGTGAAGCAATCACAGATGGTCCTTGGGAGAGTCACCAAGGGGTCTTCCGGCATGAGAGGCCATTAGGTGCTTAAAGCCCAACTGTTGCTCACACTGAGTTGCAGTACAGAACAGGACCTAATCCATGCTGGAGGAGTAGCAGCAACCGGCTCTAAATGGATAATAACAGCAGCTGGCCCCAAGATCCAGTGTGTTGCAGTTTGGCTTTGAAGGGGTTTGTCTGACACTGTTACATCATCTTTTTGTGCTGTTCCATCTATTCTTTTCCTTTAAGTGATTGAGCCTGTGGGCAGTTTAGACAGAAGTTTGGGATTTTTTTTTGTCTGCACAGACAAGGAAGAATTTTATCACTGCACTTACCTGATCAATTCAGTTGCAGAGAGGAGGGCAGGTTTTGCTGTAGCCCTGTGTATAGGACAGCTTTAGGATTAGGCCTAGAAATAGCCTCCATGATCAAAAAAATGGGGAATGAAGAGAGCTCAAAGCATGGACAAAAGCCAAGAATTGACACAGAGTGAAGATGACTGCAGATGGGTTAAAAAGGAAGAATGCTAAAAGGAAGGGGAGGGAGGTGGAGCAGGAGACACAGGCACAGTGATAGGTTTTGCATGATTGGATTGATGATAAAAGCACATCCTCAATGGGGCAACTACTGTAAATGAACTTGGCTAGCGAGAGGCAGTATCCTGGCTTTTACAAGTGCATGAGCTTCTAGGGGCTTGTTTCCAGGCAATGCCCACACTGAGTACAAGCTGATGAAGCACTGGTGGGTTTTCTGCTTTTCCTTTTGCTAATTCACGTTGAAAAACAGGGGGTTGCGGTGCAACTTCTGTTGCAAATTTAATCACAAATGTAAACTAAGTGAGTCTATCTCAGAGGATAATGAACTCGAAACCAGGCACTGCATTGTCTTGCTGGAATATTTCTGCCCAAATTTCTCCCATGCACTCATTAAACTGCTGTAAGTGTTCTTTTAGAACCCATACATTTTTTTTACTGCCCTATTAAATCTGAATTAAATGCTTTTTTTGAGGCATTTATAGAGCTACCATTTGCTCCAGCAGGGAATATGCAAAAGAACTGTTTTAACAGAAATCAGGGCATATTCTCAGAAACACTTTAATAAAGGCAGGGAAAAGCCAGTACCATGCTGGGCATCACTGCAGGTGTTCCTGAGCTTTGCTGTTTGATTTTGGGTTTGCTGATTAAAAAGCCTTACTAAATTTGGATGGGAGCCACGAGCAGTTCTGTCTTTACAGCAGTGCTGACAAATAGGGATCAGACTGTGGCTGTTTGAGGTATGTCAGGCATGGAACATATACCAAACCTGCTCTTGTCAGGTCGTTGGTGTCGCTGGGGAAGCTGCACCTCTGCCTCCCAACAGCTTGAGCTGCCTTTTCCAGGGGGATCACTTGGATGTTGGTGTTAGCTGCTGCTGCTGCCAATTAGGATCTTCCACAGTTGAAGAAAGTACTTGAGTTGTAAGACTGTTGTGGACAATCGTGTCAATAATATTATCTTGCTCGAGTATCTGGGGCCTCTCTTCTGCATGTACTCTGTAGGGACATGGTCGTGTTGAAGGAAGGTAGAGGATGTCATGTCTAACAAATGCCTAATGCTGCTGTCACTATATAATTGGGGTTACAGTGGTGTTCAGACTGCAGTGATGAAGCAAGAAAATGCAGTTGGTTAACTGATGTGCCAAATGCACAGATACTGCTTGTAAAAGGGTTTCTGTGGAGGGAGAGGAATTTTCCTGTTCATCTTCACCCATGTTGTTATTACCAGGTGATATTGAAAGGTGACCCTTGTTGGATCTGCTACAGTGAGTTTAGGATGCTCTCACCTTTGGTGTTACTAACTCTCCTACATTCAGGATACAGTCAGGATTTTTGTGCAGCTGTAGATGCTCTTTTTTCAGTGTACTTCTGACTGAGAAAGCATTTCCTGCTCTCCACAGGTGTAAACCCTAAACCACATCCTGTCCCTACTGAAACCACTGCGAGGTGAACCATTGATGTCAGTAGGATCACAGGCAATGTTGTTTGCCTTTTGGTCTCTTGGACTTAACTACCTGAATTGTTAAAGAAATAGCAGCGATACAGAATGTCACAACCTGCCCATTTTATTGGCAGCTGATGCTGAATTGGTCCTTGGATGTGTTTGCTTTTACGACACAGTAGCAAACACCTTGCCCCCACCCTTGCTATTCCAGTGCTGCTGTTTCAATTTAAACCCACTTTTTTTTCCATGAGTGGATGCAAGCAGTCCTCCCTAATAACACCGTCAGGGTTACTATGGCTACAGCTTTTCATTGTTGGGGTTCAGAGTGTGAAAAAGAGAAAAATTAGTCCCAAACTCACTGTTAGATGTTATTAATAAAGTCAGACGGTGATGGGTCAGACCACTGTCTGAAATGAATCTGTATTCCCTTACTCTTATGCCTTTTGTTCCTCTATCAGTATCTAATGTGCTTCACAGAGTCAGCAATCAGAAACCTGTGGTGTATTTGAGATTTCTCTTGACTTCAAACATAATGGTGTTGCTGCCATTAGGATTAATGTCTTAAATTCTTCAACAACTTTTTGCCCTTTCTCTGTCTCTCTTTTGGACTACATGGAAGATTGAGGTAAAGGGAATGTTGGGTATCTTTGAGTTGGCTGTTTTCTCCTAAGCTGCTAAATTCAGAGTAGTGTGAACTTAGGAGTATGAGGTTATACCAAGGGTATGAGGTTGGGGATTGAGGTTTTTTGCAAGGTGTCTGTTACCATCCTATTTGTTGCATTCATAGATTTAAGCATATGTTATATATTCTTATTTTCCTGGGTAAGTGTGGCAAATATTGGTGATTTCAGGTTTCAGAAGACTGTACCAGTAAAACATAAACAGCTGGGACAGTGAATGCAACTTACAGCAAAGTGACTGAAAGGTCAACCAGTGTGCTGTTCACAGCTGATTTTGTGCAGCATTGGTTAAGGTCTCATGGTACCCATGAATTATTCACTCCATAATAAATTACACATCTGAACAAGGAAAACAGGGTAATTTGGAAGGAGAGGGTGTTGCTTCTACCATCCTCATTAACCAGGGCTGTAATTTTATACTTTGGAAGGGTTTTTCAGTATTTTCAATATTTAATAGGGAACCCTTTCAAGTTATTTAAGAGCTTAAAATGCTTGTGAATTCCTGGCCTTTAACCACTCAGATACTAACAAGCTGATTTAAAGAAAAATATTTATAGTGATCACAGAAACAATTTAAATTATATTAAAATATTTAATACTCAGGAGATGGTTTAGTATTTAAAGATGTTTCTTGTAATTTTTAATGGAATGCCCTTAGGAGAAAAATGGTATGGTGAGATTGTCTTGGACAATAGCACACTGCACTCACGAGCCCAGGAGATTCCTTTCAGTTCTGCATTACGGTGTAATGGTATTTGATTCCAGAAGTAATTCAGAATTTATCAGAAAGAAGTATATTATGTATGGAGCCTGTGTAACATCTTGTGTTGCTCAGTGTTGGCTGGCCTACTGTATATCCTGTCAGGTGATTAGAGGCACATATCTCTCCTAAAATACAGGGGATGAAGTCTTGGATTTGGACAGCAAATTAGTTTAAGGTCTATACATAGAATCATAGAATGGTTTGGGTTGGAGAGAGCCTTAAGCTCATCCAGTTCTTACCCTGCCACAGGCAGGGATACCTTCCACTAGAGCAGGCCAACCTGCTCCAAGCCCCTGTGTCCAACCTGGCCTTGAACACTGCCAGGAGTGGGGCAGCCACAGCTTCTCTGGGCACCCTGTGCCAGCGCCTCAGCACCCTCACAGGGAAGAGCTTCTGCCTTGTATCTAACCTGAACTTCCCTTGTTTTTTGAACTCATTGTCCCTTGTTCTATCACTACAGTCCGTGATGAAGAGTCCCTCTCCTGCATCCTTGTAGGCCCCCTACATCTTCAAGTATTAGCTGTAAATAGGATTATTCT